CTTATCCTTATCTTTACCTTAGTTCTGCTACATACATGTGGTTGATACAGACCATATGCGCTACTTAGTAAGAAATGGACGTTGAGATTGAATACTGTTCGTTATTTCCATATCCTTCTCATGATTCTCTCACTGTCAATTCGGAATTTAAAAACACACGTTAGCATACAATAGAAACTCAAGAGCTCATTCCAGAGCCATAGGTTTGTAGGCATCTTGCTTATAAGATTTTATTTTTAATGGGGCACAAAAAAGAATGCTCTTTAAGCTTTTAAGCAATTAAAGAAAGACAACAAGAGAAAAATGGGCAAAAGTTTATGAAAGGGTAAGTTAAATTTCTGATTGTTCATCAATTACACTGAATATTTTGGACATAAACAATTTGTTAAGCATAGCCAATTTTAACAATCAGAAGTTTTAAGCCTTCCCCTAACAGAACATTATATTGGAAACTCTATAAAAGCTTATGTAAATTCTAACGGACATCTTTAAGGCCGCATGGATATAGTTTCAGCTAAAAGTTTTCGAATTTTCTTTTTCCATTTTTATGTTTACAAAGTTGACTAAGGTATTTCTGATTATCCACAAAAACCAATTTCAGTTCTCGAGATACAAGACACATTTGAGCTCTCAACTTTTATCTTACCAAGGTCCGTATCGTATTTTTGCTTACATAGTTTAAATACGTTCAAAGCAGATTTTTTTCAATAAAGATGTTAATTCTGAATACAATAAGACAGTTTCTAGTGATTTACTGAGTCTGGATTTGTTATTTACATAATATTTCTATGTATAAAGAAAAACAAGGCATAATCCTTGTTTACATTATGAAGAATTTTAAGCTCTGCATCTCTTTTGTAATTAACGAATGATGTTCAACTTTTTGCTGATTATGAAAAGTGTCCTAGTTACATGAAGGAATTATATATATTATAACTGGTTAAAAACTTCAGTTAAAAACCGTGTCAATGCACCTTTAAAGAGGATCCCAAAACGTTATCCTTACTCCCTTTTAGTGGCAAATTCCCTATTCTTCATTAGAATCCCTAAATACGTCAAAACCCTTGCATGCTTCTAACAACTTATATGTGTATGTACTACTTCTGCATACATGAGTTTTGAGAAAAATGCATTCAATTTTGAAAACAACCCTTAGTAAAGCAAAAGAGAGCTGAAAACATAAAATAATATTGCAATAGATTCATAAGTCTTGTACATGTCCAAATGGGGACTGCATAAGTTAGAAATAAGCATAAATCTCTGCCAAGAATTCAGAAATGACAGGCATATTGATATTTTAAAAGATAAGAACAGTTTTTAAAATCAAATAGAAAATGTTACGGGCATCTTCAGGTTAAATGTGATAAAAATTTTCAATCATGTTATAAGTTTTTGTATTTTATTTAATTTCAGATTTAAATGATCAATTAGTGAATAAGAACATTTGGTGTCTTTAAAATATTTTGCCATGATGTTTAGATATTGTAAATTTTTTAATTGTGTACATGTATATACGAGACAATATATTTGATACCTATGTTTCAGTTTTGATAAATAGTTTGTATATACACTGTAATATTAAATTATTGAACAATTCTTAATTGAACATGATACCTTTTCGTTTTAAGGAATATAAATTTAATTTTATTCTCAAAATACTGGTACAATTTTTCGTACCTTTTGTAATAAAGGCTTAATGTTCCATTTATGCAGATTTCTTGTCCATTTTTATTGAAAATTGGAGATAACGAACAACAATCAAGATCAACAGTGGATTGAATCATTAGTGAAGGAAACGTGGACATAGTCCTCTAAGAACATAAGAGCTGTTTACTTTTTTAACAGATTTGAAACGGAAATTGGTTTTGTGATTTAGTTTCGTATAAAACCATAGACCTACGTTTTGATCTAATTTCTTAAACACTAAAAAATATTAATTTTACGATCATTTAAGTAGTTTGTAGCTGCCTATGTACTGGGACTGACTGCACTGAGGTAGCACATGCCGTATTACAGAAATTCAGGATACCTCTCTGGTGACAAGCTTGTTGAGGCCTGACTGTCTATTCTCTTGAACTTGTGATAAGACCTGAATAAGGCACACAGTTTAGGGAAATAGGCAGTGAGGGGTCACCAATATTAGCTAATACGTAAGACCTGTATAAAGCAGTAGGCTGATGAAGAGAGAGGCGGCATACCACAGAAGTGGGGGAAGTGCCAAGATGCAGCAGTACAATTAAAGTGGCAGGACCAGAGAAATGTGTTTGCGGGAGACACCCGTCGACCACAGTTAGTGGTTGTCCAATCAAGAAGAAACCAATCGTATTTGTATGTATTTGATTGTAATCGTATTTGGTCAACAAAAACCTGAGTTAACAGGTTAACGAACCTAGTGTAACGCCTCGGTGATACAAGACATATCACCAAACACCAAGCTCGGCTGCGTTGCACGTTACAGATTCTCTAGTCTCTGTTTTTATTAACATGTTCTTATATTGTATGATATACCACTGTTTATGCATTCGTTAAAAATAAACAAAAATTGTATGCATCTATTAAATGATGTTAAAAAAGTGAATTTTAAATGTTCCAATTAAGAAATATACTATTATTTCAGATGCTTAAGTGTAATGTATTAAAATGTTTCGTTAGAATATAACAATTTCTAAAGACAGAACGACTTTGTTAAAAAAAGTGACGTTCAAGAGGACGAAAAGGAGCAGGAAGTAGCAATACAGTTTGCTTTGTATTCGGGAAACCTCTTAAACAAACTCTGAAAATGCTACGGAATCTAGTAAATAAAAAAAGCTCGTGCATTTGTATATACAGGGGAAAATAGTTTTTAATTGGTAGAGGCTTTTAATGGAAAATGGCCGGTCCGCCAAGATATAAATAATTAAGTAACTTCATGAAACGTTATGTAGGCTTCGGTTTTGCAAAACTTTTGTAAGCAGATTTATGAGGTAAAGAAATTGAAATCATCGACAATCTAGCGTTAGCTACTCTAGAAATTGTTAACAAACTACGTGTCAATGTTAAGGACTACGGTTTTCACAAATGGACAAGATACTGCGTGTAATATAAAAGGCAGAGCAGATTTGAGAATTTTTTTAACGTTGGTTTTCGACGAAACATTGTTGTGAAGGGTACTTATTATACCTAATACTTCATTTGATTTGCTTTAAAAATACAATCAAAATACATTAGGGTTTATATCATACTTGAACATGATTTTGTGAAAAAGTGAGAAAAAAAATCATATTTTGATTTTAGAAAAATAGTTAACAGGATCATGATTGTGTTAAGAAATCAATCCGTCGATTCCTGTACGTATAAAAAGCCTATTATTACATATCTTTAATTAAAATATGAATTGTATTTAAAATACTCCTACAGTGTCGGGCAATAATTCAAAGCAATTTTGAGAATAGAAAAGAATTTACCAAAAGATTTTTTTCAAGAATTTACTGACAAATAATTAGTCAATGAAGATTGCATTGAAGTCTTTGGAAAAAATATAAAATTTCAAAATAAAAACAAGGTTTTGTGAAATATATCAGCCATGGCTCCGTATTGTAACTCATAGCAATGGCGAAACATTCTCAAATGCACATATGTATGTTAGTAAAAAGGTAAGGTAATGATCAAAGGTCAAAGTTGTTGGTATTTGAAGGCAGGTCTTGTCACATTGATTACATTATTATGTGATGTATGAAAGCCTAAGACCGTTCAAAAGTTACGACCAAACTTAATTTTATCAACTTCAAAGTCAGGTTCAATGGGTCGAAATTGTTTATATCCTGTGGAAAGTCTTGTCACAAGGATTACATGTACATGAACATATGTGAAGAATGAAAGCCCTAGCACCAACTGTTCAAAAGATATTGCCAAATTTGGTTAAAATTTTGCAAAATCGGGTTAGACTCGACGTTCAAGGTCAGATGCCAAATTTGATGTTACCGAAAAAAAGATTTTGTCACAAGGAGTACACATGTAAAATATCAAAGCCATAGTCGCAACCAATCAAAAGTTATAGCTATGGGTCATCTTTTGCAGACAAACAGACAATCAGACAGACAGCTACACAGACAGATATTTTCAAGTGTCTTTTCAACATTTCAAACAAATAAATATCCTAATTAGATTTTCTTTGAAAGAAATTTAAAAATAGACCATGTAACTCTTTCGTGTATTAGAAAATCTGCACTGAAATAGCAGTTTTTGTTTAAGTGGTTATTCGTTTGATAAGGATGATGGATTGTTTTTGTTTTAACACCAGGCCGCACTCTGTCTACATTTGCCAACAAACCACATGTACATCAACTTATTCCTCTTATTCAGACGCTGAAATTCTGGGTCTTTGGTTGAGGGGGGCCATTCTAGAGCAAACTCTTCGGTCTAAAAAGTTAAAAAAAAAAAAAGAAAGAAACATGCAAAATCATTTCAATTCTAGAAGATTAATACCCTGTAAAAGACAATAATTAGAGCCCCACATAACTCGGAACGCTGACAATGGCCCGTGAATTTCACAATTTTCGTGCAAGGTTTTGTGCTAATGCAGTAGTTTAGATTGATAGATATTTATTTGGTATACGACATATGCGTTATTACAATGCATTTTTGACAATATAAAATATAAAGGTTTGGCACTAAACAAAAGAATTAAAATAAAATATCGGAAATCGATTGACATAATTATTACTCACATTATATTTGTTTACCAAGGATAGCCCATGAAAGCCAATGGCTTATTTCCAATGGGGTCCTTATACTCATACATATAAATTGATGTAAAATAAAATGAACAGAAAAATATAAATACTAAAGCTAAGATGTGGGATCAAGCTGACAAAACACAGATCCGTAAAAATGAATTGTAATATGTATATATACCAAATCTTTACTTGGTTGTAATCTAGACAACTAATAATAAGAAAGAACAAAACTAATAAAACACGACTTGACTTTTACACTGGGTAATTCCCCTTTCTGGTAAAAATTTCTTGACATTCCTTTTAAAAGAAAACTTATTTTACAGTATTGAAAAGGGTAGCATGTTCAAATCTTTGACTCCATTAAAATCAAAAGAATCAGATTGATTATGCTTAGTTGATGGTACAACAAAATCTGCATTGCAGGCTGATCTAGTATCATAGACATACTGTAGACGTACTTTTATTCATGGTTCATAATTCTGAGGAATTTTTAATTCTGTTCAATCCGCTGGTAGAAATTTACCCGGACATCGGAATACTTTATATGCCTTATATTTGTATTAAGACTTTACACTGCTCATTTACAGACTGTGATATATGGGAGTTAACTCTAACATTTTCTGTTTGAAGATTACTGAGATAATAAATTATCTAAAGTTAAACTTTAAAAGTTTACTTTCATTACCAGCAGATTGATCTTACCATTTTTGGCGGGAAGACACGCCCACAGTTTCCTTTATTTATATGTTCTAGATAAGCCAGCTTCAGTGTTTTCTTCATTGTCAGAGATACACACTGGCTACATAACTGACACTTCTACAAAACAAACGACCATGTTATCGGCTACACAACTTACACTTCTACAAAAACAAACTTCCATGTTATCGGCTACATAACTGACACTTCTACAAAACAAACTTCCATGTTATCGGCTACACAACTTACACTTCTACAAAACAAACGACCATGTTATCAACTACACAACTTACACTTCTATAAAACAAACTTCCATATTTATACTCCTTTACTAAAAATGCGTACATGTTATCTACATGTCAGTCACCAGATAAACTTCTGTAAATAATTATAAGTATATGTGTTGCATAGTTTGCTTTGTAAACATTGAATACGGAGGTTGTTTACTTTTTTGTAATAATGAATTAAATGTATGAAATGAATTATAATTCCAATAAAAACACTTTTTCAAGCCTATCTAAAAGTGACATTTTGTAAAAAAAAAAAATCATCAAAAGGCATCCCATGATTGAGTGAAAAAATAAAATGGCTAAGGAACGGAATCCTCAAGTTTTAAAATTCGACAATGCCCCTTTCCTTTCATCTCTTAAAGTAAATTTTAGATCCCCTTGCAAAAGGCTCTGGTATAGTGGCAAACTTATCTCATCTCTACAGTTATGTAAAAATGAGTATAATAACAAACTTACCTCATCTCTACAGCTATGTAAACATGATTTACTGTGACATCACTCAGTGAATACAGAGTATAATAACAAACTTACCTCATCTCTACAGCTGTGTAGACATGATCTACTGAGACACCACTCAGTGAATACAGAGTATATTAACAAACTTACCTCATCTCTACAGCTGTGTAGACATGATCTACTGAGACACCACTCACTGAATACAGAGTATAATAACAAACTTACCTCATCTCTACAGCTATGTAGACACGATTTACCGAGACATCACTCAGTGAATACAGAGTATAATAACAAACTTAACTCATCTCTACAGCTATGTAGACACGATTTACCGAGACACCACTCAGGGAATACAGAGTATAATAACAAACTAACCTCATCTCTACAGCTATGTAGACACGATTTACCGAGACACCACTCAGGGAATACAGAGTATAATAACAAACTAACCTCATCTCTACAGCTATGTAGACACGATTTACCGAGACACCACTCAGGGAATACAGAGTATAATAACAAACTTACTTCATCTCTACAACTGTATACACATGATTTACTGAGACACCACTCAGGGAATATAGAAATGTCCTTGTCAGATACTCTCATATTGGCTTCATCCTCTGAACTGTTCAAAGTTAAAGACAAAATAAAAAGCTTTGAAATCATTTAATCCCTACTTGCATAGCATCTGAAATATAGGCGTGGTGATGTAATTTAGCTGAATAAATTTTGTAGATAAGTAAATTCAATATATTAGTTAATACTTATTGTATCCCGCTTTCACGAAAGCAAAGGGGACATCAAATCTCATTCGTCTATCCGTCTCCGTCAGCCTGTCTAGCTGTCCGTCCGTCACGAAAGCTTTAACCTTGCCCATAACTTTTGATTTAGTGGAGCTATGACTTTCATATTTCACAAGTGTATTTCTTGTGATAAGACCTTTCTTTGGGCACCATTGAATTTGACCTTTTGACCTTGACCTTGGAGAAAGCGGGGGACTACAATTCTTTGAATTTGCCTGTTTCAATTAATGTTCCTTTTCTAAAAATATGTATTCAGTAAATTTAATATTTTGGACAACCCCTCAAATTGAAATAACTGCATATTTATATGGAATACACATATATGTAATGGAATAAATATATGGTAGAAGTTCACATGCATATATACTAAACTGTATATTTTACAGGATTTAACATACTAAAACCGGTATATTGAAAAAAAAAAGTTACAGGCGCAGTCCTATATTCTGAACAATTTTGAATCTACACTACCAGAGGATCTTTCATTTTAGTACGACTAATCATGACCATGTTGATTTTTACCAGCTTTTTAAAAAAAGATGTTCTACATTGGCTCAACCCTATCCAAGTGGTCAAAAAATTGAATCTATAAAATTTGTCAATGTTTGCATATCAACAACGATAATCATAACCTAACTGTTTGTGAAAGTAAGATTTCGGAAGATTTTTTCTATATACATCCGCGTAAGATTTTTATACCCTATCTTGGCTAATCATACCCACTTGGTCTATGTTATGTACAAATTTGTGCTTTATCTGAGGCGCTTGCTAGTCACTATCACTTGTCATGTCCTTTCTGTACTTGAAAATATTTTTTAAAAGACAATTTCCTATAAATTCTTGGAGTCCACTCTACCCCCGGAGGTCATGATTCAAACAAACTTAAATCTGCTTTACCTTGGGCTACTTGCATATTTATATCACTATCATTGTTATTCTGTTTTCTCGAAGATTTCAAAGAAAGAGGTCGGTACGATTTTGCCTTTAAAATGCTCTAAAATATGTTTAAAGAGTGATAAGAAATGTGAATCTCATACCTTTTATAGAAGTCATTTTTGACTGGCCGAGTGACTAATACCACACTCAGTAAGTTGAACATAACTTTGTCGTACATCTCGGCATTTCGTGGGATGTGATCTGAGGACAGGTTAGGAGACATGTTCACCTGGAAATTTAAGACACTAGGTTGACAGTATATGTATAACAAAATTTCTGAAGATTTTGAAAAAGTATACATGTATGTATTTATCCTTTATATAGTCTACCATTTCTGTTAAGTTACATACCTCCATCAGGTGAACATTTAAATCCTCATCTACGGCAAAGTCAAATCGAACCAGTTCAAAGAAATTCCTACAAAACAGTATGAGTACTAAAGTATTATCTCATATGTAATTAAATCTTATAGAGAATATATAATGTATTTTATAGCTAAAGTTTAAGAAAGTTCAGTTATAATACATGTATGTACTGACCTTGAAGAAGAGAACATATTTGAAGCGGAAATGATGGCCGCCTCCTTCTGTAAGTAGACAGTCCTGATAGCAGCCGAAATATCACGCCACAACTTCCGCACGTTGTGACCTACAAGACATCATAAATAACTCGACACAACTTCCTAACGTTATAACCTACAAGACAACAGAAATATCACACCACAACTTCCTAACGTTGTGACCCACAATATATCAGAAATATCACGTCACAGCTTCCTAACGTTGTGAACTACAAGACACGGCCAAAGTTATCTTCCTAACGTTGTGACCCTGCAAGACAACAGAAATATCACGCCACAAATTCCTGACGTTGTGACCTTCAAGACAACAGAAATATCACGTACAACTTCCTAACGTTGTGACATGCAAGACAACAGAAATATCACGCCACAAATTCCTGACGTTGTGACCTTCAAGACAACAGAAATATCACGCCACAGCTTCATAACGTTGTGACATGCAAGACAACAGAAATATCACGCCACAGCTTCCTAACGTTGTGACCTTCGAGACAACAGAAATATCACGCCACAGCTTCCTAACGTTGTGACATGCTAGACAACAGAAATATCACGCCACAAATTCCTGACGTTGTGACCTTCAAGACAACAGAAATATCACGCCACAACTTCCTTACATTATGACATACAAGGCACAGCCAAAGTTATCTCCCTTACTGAATTCATAAACCAAATCGCATTGGCCGTGTGGGTTCTGATTAATTCTTATAAATTATGTATGAGTTTGTATATGCACGCATCTGTATGAAGCTGATGAACTAATCATGATCCTGAGGAATCATCAAGTATGGAACATTTACTTAGATAAATAAATTAATTATAATAAGTTATGTGCACACAAATTCGGAATTCCTGTTTTAGTGATATTTCCTTCATTTAGGGACAGAGTTTACGACTACATTAATGTGGATGATAAATTCACAATTTTCACTTCAATAACTTTTCAAAGCAATAGTCAGTCACTGTTCCACGTTCTCTCTTTTCTTACAGCAATGTGGCAAAACATGTATCTAATGTGGAATGATATTTGTACATGGGGGTCAATGTTTGAATTTTTACTGGTTCCTTGGGACGTAATTCTATGGATAATGTGTATGTTGTAATATCATAGACAAATTCCGTGTTCAATGTATATGTGTATTCATATTCATGGGAATACTGTAAACGTACTTCATTCAATTCCACTTACACAAACAAGAGGCATCAAATCAAACTTGCGTATTTCAGCCAGAACCTTCACAGGGGGCGAGAACTTTTTGCACCATTTTCTGACATAATGTCCGAACTTTCACGTTGTCAAAGTCTTTCTTGTTGATGATTGATGCACCAGGCCTATCGTCTCTGTGTATGTTGAGTGGTCATTGATCGTACCTTTGAGGCATGGATTTAAAATCATGCTTTTAAGCCAAAGCATGCCTCCTAGTCCATTTGGAAATTAAATTTGATCTGATCCTTCTCAATTCAGTCACATTTTGTTGTGCTGACCACTGAGGGTGAGAAGCAGCAATTTGTTTACCTATCTTACCCATGTCATTCATGCCAAAACTTTTCTTTTGATCAGACCTTGTTCACTATATCTACAAGCCCCCCTCTCAAAATCTCTTGAGGTGAGATCTATCGTTAGTGGTAGGTCTTGGTTTGTCTGCTATTTTTCACGATTTTTATGCTGGTGTGGTTCTGTTTACATACGGATTGTTGGGATCTTTTGGTAATATATATTTTAAGGAGAGGATTCATTCCAAAATTAGACATTCTTTTTGCCCCATATTACAAAGAGACGATTTTTTTCAAATAAACTTCTTTAAATGAAAAAAAATAAATTGAGGTATATAAAAAATGCATTTTCCCTCACCTTTCCTTTCCAAATAGGCATTCAATGATTCTTTAAAGTTGAAATTTAATTCTCTATTCAGCTTTTTCAGGGATGGCATCTATAAAAAACATTTTTTTTTCATATTAGTAAATTTTTCTTTAGAAATCACTCATTTGTGTGTAACTGTCCATTACTACAGGTCATTTCTCCTAGAACCATTAAATATGATATTTTATACCTTTTATCCACTAAAACTTTGTATTTATGAATTAAAACCTTCGTTTTTAAGGTGTTAAAATTTAAGACGCAATAGGTTATCGTTAAACACTTTTAACTAGCGATTCATAAGGAAAAATACTGTACTTAATTGTGGTTAACTATTTTAGATTAGAGTTTCAAAGTTTTCACTATAGTAAAAGTTTAAAAGTATTTTTTTTTCTGCAGTAAACAAAAGTCGCAAAGGTTTTGTTATTGTTTATCCATTTTTTAAGTGTTTCCTTGTAATTAAAGTTTCAAGGTTCTGTTTTTGTTTATTAATTTTGCAACATGTATTTTATCAAATATTTCGATGATTAAGTCGTTAAAAGGGGTGGATATTGGATTGATTTGGGCTTGTGTTTTTGTACATATTGAGTTATTAGCTGCAATAATGTAGCCCTCTCCGATTTTTTTTTCCAGCTACAACTCCTTAGGATCTCTATAATGTCGCAGATGCGGCAGTGGATCACTCCCGCACGGATTTCGGCTCAAATTATCAGTAAACGGCTATTTCATTATTATCTCTTACCTGGAATCCAAATATGTAATTATGCAAAACATAAATCGATCCAAAAATATTCACAACGACCCATATATCTGTTATTTTTCGTGTGTGTCAACAGCTTAACTTGAATTTATCCGCCATGTTTACTGACCTTGATGGATTGTATTTTGGGACAGCCAATGAGAATTTAGGTTCTATAGGAGCGGATCTACTAGGAATTCCCTTATTTTAAGCATACGTATCGCTGTTTGCGCAAAAATAACACTTGAAATGGTTTTATTTATCGATGTTTTTGTAATATATTATAGCACAATCGTTTATAAACATCGACATTTGCTTTATTTGGTTGTTCCAAATTTCAAGCGAAAGTCTCACTACGTCACGCGTGAACTGTCATGGCTGCTGAATATTGCAGCTGGAAAAGACACAGATTTATTTAACATGGTTTTCGAGTTTAACAGGCTATGTTGTTGACAGTGAATAAAAATTCCGTCTTATAAGAAGTAAGTTTAATGTAAAAATAATTTATTTTGCCTCCAATCACCCGTATCAAAAAAATATATTTGCACCATTACGGAGATGCGATGGAATTGTAGCCCTCTCCAAAAAATATCAGATAAAAAAAATCGAAGAGGGCTACATTATTGCAGCTAATTGAGTTATATAAACAAAGTAGTATTAATATTGTAATTCGAATGCAATATTATAATTGAAATTTCAAAACAAATAGTTAGATCTTGATTCCCCTAAAATACTTGATGTAGCAGATATTTTGATTCTTAACGAGGCTAGGGTGTGGCAGCCATTTTCAGACTATTTTTATCTCCTTTAAAAGGAGAGCTCCATATGAAGATATAGAAAATGATCAAATTCTAAAACTAAAATGTATGATTTTTTTTCTTTGTGAAATGATAGAAGACAGCTTAAGTTACCGTATCTTAAAAAAATAAGTTAAATCTGGTGGTTAATTTGTGATTAATTTGTTGACCCCCCAGCCTCCTTAATAGCACAGTTTGTATTCAATAGTATATTTTTCTTTCTATAAATAAAACCAACCCTACATCTCCATAACATTGATTAATTACATTTAAATAGATATTGCTTACTTATTGGTGCAAAATACAAAAGCAATATTCATGAATTCAATATTTATGAAATAATTGCGAGCGCAATAGACTAACGTGTATGAACATAGGAAATTCGGATTAAAAATCTGTACATACATGCATCAGGCAAATTTCTCTGTGAAACATTCCTAGAATTTCTGAACTACCCAATGTCCTTTCCGCAAATAAATAAATAAATAATAACGTAAGGCATAACAGGCTTTCAGTTTGTAGAAATCTTTCAAAGAAACAAAAAAGAACTCTGCAATGTGTTTTCGACAAAAATTGCACTAGGTCTATAGTTGCAACCAAACGCTCGACTGTCTCCGTAAGCTCCGACGAGCTCCGTGACGTCGTGTGACGTCACAGCTAGGCGAGATGTCTTGTGCGGCTTGATGTTTGAAGTGGCTGATCAATTTTTCAAGAAATTTCAAGTGTTTTTGATGGTACAACTGCGCTCGCCCCAACGGTCACACCGTAAAACATATTATTCATTACTTGTACATTGTATATTAATCTTTTATGGGAGGTGTCAGGTTTTTTTTAATTCTCTGTGGCTTTTTGAATCTCATTCTGAATCTTAATCTTGAAATATCATTAAATGTAAAGAATGGGAATTAAAAAAATAATACAAGAGATTTTATCGCACTTAATGTTCCAAAGTTTTCATTAAAGTGAATCAAAGTTCCAAAGTTGTCATTATCTTGAATGAAAGTTCCAAGTTTTTACAATAGTCAATCTAAGTACCAAAGTGTTCACTATGGTGTATCAACGTTCCAAAGTTTTTTACTATGCATGATCAAAGTTCCAAAGTTCACTTTAGTACATAAAAATCACAGTTCCAAAGGTTTTACTTTGGTACGTTGGTAGTGTACCATAATATCTTTTGTTATGGAGGTCTTTATTTTACGCATAATAATGCACAAAAAAATCGTTTTAGAAAATTTATTTGTATTCTTTAAAAAGATAATATACAATACATAAAATAATAACCTGAATTGGTGTCAATTTAATCTCAATTGTTAATTAAAAAGAACTTTTTTTGAAACAATAAGGTATTTTTGCAGTATGCAGTAAAGTAGTCAGGATATTGCTGATTTTTTTTTATAAATAGGACAAAGATTTTACGTGTACCTTCCAAACTGGAGTGAAGTCATCTCGCACGACATACTTGCTAGTGTTACGAGCATCAAAAGGATAATAATCTTGAGAACAGAACCTACAAATATTTCATTTGTCTCTTCTACAGATCTAAAATTAGACATATGGCATAATTTAATGTGTATATCTGCTAAACAGTAACAAGTATATACAAAAGACACTCTTAGTGGATTTATAGATGTCAATATGGTGTAAACTCCAATGTCAAATTATACTGACCTGATAGAAGCCTCAGTTTCTATAGTATACACTCTCAGTGGATTTATAGATGTCAATATGGTGTAAACTCCAATGTCAAACTTCCTGTAATCAGTTATTATTCATAAAACTACAGACATTGAAGGTTTCAAGTATAATTTTGAACAAAGTTTTTTAAATAGAAATGTGATTAATGATATTGAAGAATAGGATTACAAAATTGCTTCTCACACTTTATTTAGTCATACTGATTGGAGGAAATTTTTTCTGTGTTTCTGTGTTTCTTAGCAAACAAAACGTTTACCGTCAATATCTTACCTGCCATCAATAAGAAATGGTCGGTCCACAAACACCTGAACAAAGGAACCTTCCTCTGACAAGTCTAGTTCTGTTAAAAAAACAGAGAAATTATTCTTATTCAGGTCTGTTAGAAAACATTGGGGAAGTAACTCGCTTTAATTTTGCACAAATACCTGGTAAGTTCCTTTGATTTATTGTGATTGTGAGGAAACTTGTTAAAGTAGAGATACTTCAATTACATTTTTTGGAAACAAAATTTACTGTAAATTCTCTTGGTTCCACAACAGTACTAACCCTGTACATTTGTTATCTTGATCCCCCTGTGATTGTTCCTTTTCTTGACCCACAGCGTGTCTGGGTGCTCCTCTGCCTGTAAGTTTATGATAATGTGAATTAATTACAAATGAAAGCTGTCTATCTTCACAATGAACAACTGAAACACATTATTGATGTTATAACCATTTCAAATTGACTATAGCCTTGTATTGAAAGTCATTCACTTGTGCATGTTTGATTATGTTAAGTAAATGTTTTGAGTTTTGAGGTCAAATATATTTTGAAGAAAAAAATTGTGCAGCTTAAGTGATGAAATCCAAATAATTTTAAGTCACAAAATAACAAAATATGTGTACATCTTAGTCATAACGTCGGCAGTTTTCCGGTGGTTGCTACTTGTGCCCCCGACAAAGCTTCACCTTGGACCTACTTAGAGGTTTCATGGCTTTTAAACCCATTTTAAAACTGTTGTGTCATCCACTGACTTTGAGGTACACATTGTATATCTAGTCTGATTAATTGCACTTTGATTTACAAATTATATGCATGACCTGATTGAATGGAGTCTGAAAAAGTATTGCATATCTGACATAGTTGAAGGGTGTGTTTCATCTTATTTACATATTGCATATCTGAGATATAATATAACTATACACTTTGACATACATATTGTAAATCTGACCTAATTGTATACACTCTAACTTACATTTTGTATATCTGACTTAGTTAAGTACGCTTTGACTTATACATCGTATATCTGACCTAATGTACATACTGTATATATTTGACTTATTAAAAATTTCACTGACTTACATATTGAAGAAATTTGTCTTTTTCCTTGGGGATCCTGAAGGCCCTGGGTATATAGGGATTTGTGGAAACTGCTAGATGAACCTTGCTGGTGATGAAACCTGACCCAGGGAAATGGTTTACCTGTACTCAGGTGAGAATCATGGTGAAATTTCACATACTGGTCATGTACACCATAAAAATTATTTAAAATTTTATCTCTCAAGCAATCATAATATTTACATATTAATAAATATTCATGTATATACTTTATCATGATATTTGTCACTCAGTTCTTAGACAAATAACTTGTTTAACAGACCAGTGACTGCATGTGCCTTGAACACGGGTGAGATATATAACAATATCTTCTTTTATCGACGTTTCGGGAGAATATAATAAAACAGAAACTTTACTGATATCTTTGTTTTATAATTTAAAATCTTTAAGGGACTCCGACCCTCAGCCAGGAAGGACAACTCTTTAATTTATCATTTAATTCAAAAAGTCTTTAAATGAAGCTTGAAAATTTAATATTTCCATGCAACAATTTTCATTATATGCCTTTCAATGTGCATCAAGGTTCTTTGCAAAGCTCCATAAATCACTTCTAATTTCATATCATGTTAAAACATTGGTATCTTAAAATGCTTTTTCGGGATAAAAATTTCTCCTTTAAATTAGACCTTTCTAAGGAGTTCAAAGAACCTTGAAGCACATTAAGATGCATATAATAAAAATCGTTGCATGAAAAAATTTAATTTTCAAGCTTCATTTAAATACTTTTTGTATTAAATTAAAATTAAAGAGTTGTCCTTCCTGGCTGAGGGTCGGAGTCCCTTAACCACAATAAATACCTTCTGATGAGGCTTAAGATTCGAGATTTTTTTGGCCAACTGTACAAACGGATACTCATGTGACCAGAGTACATCCCAATCAGACTTGTTATCACCAACAGCATATCCTATCCTCTCAAACACGGATATGACGTGATTCAGGTATCCGGACTCTAGCTGAAATATATAAAATACAACATATCCTATCCTCTCAAACACGGATATCACGTAATTCAGGTATCCGGACTCTAGCTGAAATATATAAATACAACATATCCTATCCTCTCAGACACGGATATCACGTTATTCAGGTATCCAGACTCTAGCTGAAATATATAAAATACAACATACTAGTATCCTGTCCTCTCAAGTACTGCAAATACATGCTTCAAGTATTCACAATCTAGCTAAAATACTTGAAGCAAAACATATCCTATTCTCTCAATTATTGCAAATGGGTGCTCAAGTATGCACACTCTAGCATAGATACTTGAAGCAAAAAATATACTATTCTCTCAATTACTGCAAACTCGTGCTCAGGTATCTACACTCTAGTTTAAACGCATTAAGCAAAACATGTCCTATTCTCTCAATTACTGCAAATGCATGTTTCAAGTATTCACACTCTAGGTTGACAGAGAAATGAATTGATATCTAGACAGGTCGACAGATCGAAGGATTGAGAGGTCAAGAAGAAAGCTAATAGACAGGATGACAGGTCGACGCCTTGACAAGTCGACGGGTTGACATATTGACAGGTTAACAGGTCAAAGGGTAGACAGATCGACAGGTTGACGGGTTGACAGAAAGCTGAGTTCACAAGTTGACATGTAGACTGGTCAACGGGTTGACAGAATGACAGGTAAACGGGTTAACATATGGACTGGTCGATGGGTTGACAGATCGACGGATAAACAGCTTGATCAATAAGTGTCGACCTTTGTGAGGAGACTGTATTTCAAACAATAAGTTTAGTCACTTATCAACCTTTGTACTGTCACATGTCGACCTTTGTGATGACACTGAAAATTCAAAGTGGAATTGTCAACCATTCTGTGAAAGATGGAGTTTTTATAGCATTTATTTGAAGCAATTAGGCAAGATATTCCTCTTTATATATTATAAAGGTAACTATTTCTTTTTTTTAATTTTAAAAATGTTAATTGGTTTTACGGATCTACTTTTCCGCATGTCTTAGTTGAACCGCAAAGACAAGATTGTTTCTGAGAAAAAAATTATGATCTTAACTCTCACTTGGATGACAATGTGGAACCCGTATTGAATAATTACGGCAGAAATCTTTGAAATATTGATTTGATATCTGCTATAATTAAGCTTTTCACAACTTAACATAATACAAATAGCATGGTAATTACTACCCTACATAACCTACCTTTATGCCTTCCGTCCACTCCACATGACCTACCTTTTTACCTTCCACCCACACTATGGGCTTCCTGACATCATATTTTCCTGTCCTTTCCTCAGCCTCTGGCAGATTAGCCTGTTGTAACACTCCGGTTTCCCTCATTTTATAAAGCTCATAGATATTAAGCAATGTAAAAAGGATTCCTAGTCCTAAAAGCACAATCACCAGGGAGAAATAGCGACCATGTTTCTTCATCTTAGCTTTGGGTTCTCCAAATGTAGGTGATAGAGCGCTGTCCTTCAATATATGCAGGTTAAAATTACCTGGATTGTAAATAAAATTAAACAAATGTCAGCTTTAAAAAATTAACTTAACCTTTAATTTTGTAAAAAAAAAAAAAAAAAAAAATTAAGAACGATTATTTTAAAGAAGTTTGGCAGGTAATTTTGATGTGAAAATGATCATAAGACATATATATGTAATATCATTAAAAAACAGAAGTGTGTCACAAGTAAATCTAGTCACACATACAATGTCTGAACAATATATTCCTTTGCACATAATTAAGCACTAAAAGTAAATTACATCATTAAATCATTAGCATGTTTATATATATATTACCTTGCATTAAATCCAACAAAACTGTTCCTTATCTCCATACATGTATGTTTCATCCAACAATTTAAATGCTTCATTCTTAATTATATTAAACTAATTTTTTATATTTAACGACATTTTAATCAAATATATCTATCTACATTTTTTTTTATTTTACTTGTAATTTTTTTTTATATATAAATGTGAAATGAATATTGTAAGATAAAATCAGATTATTTTTCTGTAAGCCATTTTGGACAGTTATTATGTTTTACGCGAGATTTATTCACTTCACAAAAGCCCTATGAGATTTAAACGATTAATATTCCCACTTTAAGTAATTTGAACGCTCTCTCTCTCTCTCTCTCTCTCTCTCTCTCTCTCTCTCTCTCTCTCTCTCTCTCTCTCTCTCGCATGGAGAGAAAAGCACCCTTCTAACAAAATTGCAAAAATGATCAGATGTGAACAAGGCTTGCAGAATGCCTATAGCTTCAGATATTTAAAAAAAAATATTTACAATTTGTAATTAATTAGGTTTTTAATAAAGTTATTGTCACTCACTTTTGTGTAAAAGAGGAAATATTAAATCTTATTTGTCTTAAAGTCTGTCATCCTGTACGTCTGTCACAAAAAATTTAATCTTGGTCATAACTTTTGAATAAGAAGGGATAGGTACATTACCTGTAACAAGACCTTTCTAAATACTTTATATCTTTTTACCCTCAGACCTTGGCTTTGAGGTTTGATCTACTTTTCCGAAAATTTTCATTAGTTTAAATTGGTCATGATTTTGAAAGAGAAAAGGTAGAACTTCCATATATATTACCCGTGACGAGACCTTTCTAAAAACTATGCTTTTTGACCTTGTGACCTTGATTATTCTTTTATAAAAAAAATAACATGGTTCTAATAGGATTCGATCCCTAGCAATAAAAATTCTGTGTGTGATATTTCTTAATTTGAGACAAACACGCTAACTACTATGGAAGGGAATTACCGCCAAAAGTCTATGTATCTTGCTTTTATTCTTATTATGCCTCCTTCTTTATGCTTTGTTATTATTGTTATTACATGTATATGTCACTTTACTGTTTTCATATTCGTCTTTATTACATTTCACTTTGACTTTTATCCTTCTTCATTTTGTCTTTACTTCTATGTTGCTTTATTCTTGTAAATTCATTCTACTTTCTTTTAAATTTAAACAGTTTCTTTCATAAATTATTAGCATTATCTCTACTACGAATGTTAATTCAATCACGCAAACAATGAAGCATATTCAATGAAGACGAATGGAAGTTGTCAAACCGTCAAAATTTAGTGCGGCATTATAACGCTAGGTGGCGTGGTGTTCGATACGAGTGTTGGTAAAACTAGGTAAGCAAACCCGGGTCGGGTTATTTGAGATTCTTCAATACGCCTTAATACTTTATCAATCGAACTTCTGAAGGCCGGATCCGATCTCCCGATCCAATGATGGAAACTCCATATTTATTTTCTCTGGGCACACATGAAAAGCGGCTTCTTTTTTTTCAGACATAACTTTATACTATAATGAATATGTTCATTTAAAGGCCGACCCACTTTTTGTGAGAGTAAGGGTCAAATAAGTAAATGTAGTACGTATAGTAGGAAGAAAATTTAAATTTGATTCTATAGAAGAATTTGAATCTAACTCAAAATCCACCCCGCCCCCGAAATAGGATTTCATTGGCGTCGGAAGTGAATTGAAAGTTGGGGGGGAGGTATGTGTAAGAATTTTTTTTAGACCTTCAAAAAAAAAACCTGACAGGCAATAAAAAAAAATCCATTTTCCAAACACAAAAATCCTATTTCGTGAGGAGGGGTGGGTTGGGGTGGGTTGAAGGTTCGAACTCCAGTGCCAAAGTTTTTTTTTCCTAATACCACCACTTTCCCCATTTTAAACCTTTACTGCATCTTGTCCATGGAAAGTGGGGGATGGGGGGGCTAAACCTTCTATCTTCGGAAAGAAGTAGGGGCTAAGCCCCCCCTCCCCGGTTCCGATGCCTATGTTTTTCCAAGATTGGACAATTTCCTGGGGTTTATTTTGCGCTTGTCAAGTTGTTTTCAGCCGGGAAGCTTGAATATTTATTATCTTGTTGCCCCCCCCCCTCCCCACTTTCAAAAACGGTGCTATGTCACTGTTCTCTCGCCTGAAAAATATAACTCTAGCAAAGTTATTTGTTGGATATTTGAATTACAGTTTGTTATAAAAATGTTAGATATTTTGATACTAGTTAACCCTTATAAATTGGGTTGTTTTTCAGAACCTTCCACTGAACTGAACTTTATTTCACGACAGATAGTAACTGTTGATGCGCGTGATTCTAGGGACAGAACTTTGCAAAGGAGTGAGGAGCGTTATGGGTAGGCAGGCGCGTGTCCAGATTTTTTTTTCCGGGGGGAGGGGGGAACCAAGTAAAAAAAAAATCCAATCCCAGAAATAAAAAGAAGAAAAAAACCTAGACTCGCTCAAACGTCAAAATTCTATTTCGTGGGGGAGGGGGGTAACTTTTTTCCTTTTTTTTGTAACCTTGTTAAATCCAGGGGGTCCTACCCCCCCCCCCCTCTAGATCCGCGCATGTTAGGCGAAGTCGGAACCAGGCTACATACACCTAGGCATACTAGAAACTCCCCGGTCTTTTTTATGCGCTAATATTTTATTTTAAAATAGCACTTTTTAATAAAGAAAGAAATATCTTTAGTACGCACTGTGTTTGTCATCAGCCAGGATAGCTAAAAAAAAAAATCTTAAAACTCGAAAATTCTATTTGGTGTTAGGTGTGGGGGGGGGGGTGTCTTCAACTTTTTTTCAGTGCTAAATTTTACTCATATGCCACTAAGTACATGACCTTTTAACATATAAATTGGCTATTAGTACTGCAACAAAAAGTGTAAGGATAAGGGATGGGGGGGGGGCAACAAGCCTTTCGCCTTTTCCAGTAGTAAAAAGTTACGTTTAGGAAAATGGTTCGTGGCCACCCTCCCCTCTACCGATGAAACTTACCCCATAGGAGGTCGTCCACCTGGAAGTCAGTATATATATTGAGACTTTCGTGGTGTGATTGTACATTGTATAATTTCCTTTTCGAGAATTTTTCACTCAAATGGAGAAGCCACCTCTTGCCGGTGGAGAGCTGCAAATTTTGTCCTATATACTCGGCATTTATAGCCATTGAGTAGTGAGGGATCTTTTTTCGTGCCAGCACCTACTGCGACACGGGACCTCGGATAATACGGTCTAAATCTCATCCGAAGGACCGAACTCCACGTCCTATGGTGGGATTCGAACCCACGACGTATTGGTCGACTCGTTACTACTGTACTTCGTGACTCTATATAGAGCAGACGCCGTAACCACAGCGGGCGACTGCATCCAAGGGCGGGGGGGGGGGGAGAAAGAGTCATTATCCATATGTACTCGTGAAGATCATCTATGTTTAACTAAATGATTAAAATGATTTAATTATAAAACACTATTAAAATGATATTATTTAAATATTTATTCATATAGAACCAGGGACCTATATACTAGTATATAATAATTTCCTAATAAATAAATTTTCTTCAAAAACTGAAAACGTTAGTATATATAAACATTGTTTTACAATTTAAAAAAACTATTCGGGAGAGGGGTTGCTTGGAATGGGGGCGACTAGCTGTATATTGAAACTTCCCCGGGGGAGTCCCACTGTATAGTCTTCCGAAGGAAGCATCACTATGTAGTCAGTCTTCCAGGGGAAATCTTACCATCTAGCGAGACTTCCGAGGGAATGGCATGTATCGGGTACATACCTGGACTTATAACAAACATCAGTCTTTTGAAAATTTAAGTTTGATTAATAAAGTATTAAAGCAGAAAATTGAAAAAACTCGAAAACCCCGGCACGGGTTTGCTTACCTAATTTTAAAAACACTCTTAGCGAACACCCCTGCCACCTAGCGTTATAATGCGGCACTAAATTCGGACAACTTGTATTCGTCTTCATTGAATATGCTTCATTATTTGCGTGATTGAGCATGTTGAGTTAACGTTCGTAATAGTTATAATCATTTAAGAAACTGTATCAATTTAAAAGAAAGCAAAATGAATTTATAAAAATAAAGCAACATAGAAGTAAAGACAAAATGAAGAAGGATAAAAGTCAAAGTGAAATGTAATAAAGACGAATATGAAAACAATAAAGTGACATATAATTACAATAATAACAAAGCATAAAGAAGTAGGCAGAATAAGAATAAAAGCAAGATACATAGACTTTTGGCGGTAATTCCCTTCCATAAACTACTATGTTACACATCACCTGATGAATGGTGGCATTTAATTAAATCATATTTGTGACATGACAGTCGACATAATCGACGTCAAGTATTTCTCGGAAAGACACGAATGTTTAAGCATAAAAGTGAACTTTAAAAAGTAAAGTGGGTCTTCGTTCCATGTTTTTAAAACCATAAATAAGTATATTTTTATGCACACTTTTAGGATTAATGTTCAATACAATGGGGCGAAGTCCTACTTATATCAAAAAAAAAATAATCTATGAGAAAATGATCTTTTTGTGTTATTAAATGTGTATGTTATTTCATGGGCAAATAACTTCAGTCTTTTGAGATTTTTTGTAAATTGTAGAGATTTTACATTAATTATATACCGGTACTTAAATGTTGGATGAAAA